GAGGGGCAATTTGGAAGCAAAGTACAGTACAGTACATTCCCCTGCAATCAGGGTTTTCTGCGGCTGTGACACAAGTGCCGTCTGCAGGTTTTTCTCCTAGTCCTGTAGAAGGACATCTCTAGAGCTGGCGATTTTACAGTCTCCGGAGACATGGTGTATCCCTTCTTTCTGCTTCCCATGCAATCTCAGGTTAGAGTCCAACATCTTAACCAGTACACTGGCTTTTGCCAGTTATGTCTCCAGCTGGTCCCAAAGGACTGGGTACGTATACTGACATTTGTTGGGATGTGTGTTGATCCCCAGACATGGGGATCAACACAACTGCCTGTAGTTTTGGACTCTTGTTACAGATGATGGGGGCAGTCATGAGGACTACCTGCTTTTCCAAAATCGCTCCTATACCACTATTCTTAATGGCAAACTATGGCTACACTTTAGAGGGCAGATTGCATAGGATTCCTTGAACTCACCAATCCAAAAGTATTCTATCAGCCATGTATCGCAACCTTCTATGTACTGTTAAGCTCCTTGTTTTTTGTAGTTCCTGAGAGCAAGCAAACAAACAAAAAGAAACAGTGGCTGATCAAGTGCTGCTATAGGCCAGCATAGACAGAGTACAATATTGGAGGCTGTACTGTATTCTGCTTGATGAATCATATCAGCCTATAAGTTCAGTAGGACAGGACCATCATCTTTATAGTTTATGTAAGTGCAGAACTCAGAGGGAAAGAGCTGGCAGTCCTCTTGAGCTTAAAAGAGTGTTTACTACAATAGGGGTGGGAAGCGTGCCGTTTCTCAGGTGATTTTTTACTCCAGATCCCTTCAGCCCTAGGAAGATGTTGGGAACTGTAGCCTAGTAACACTGGGAGGACCACAGGCTGCCCGCACAGTCGAGCGGGCATTTTCAACGGGGGTTTGTCATGTTCAAGCTTGAAACCTTGGCCCAGTCTTGTGCAAAGTTAGAAACGACCAAACTAAATACAATTTGGCAGCTGCATACTGTGGCATGTTCAATGCTTGACAATCTTTCCTCCACATTTTGTGATTCTAGGTAAACACAGGATTTTTTACCTCAGGTCGGGGTAAAATGGCTTGAGATCTATAAACTGTACTGGCTTCCTTTCCCCATTGGATGCTTTCTGGCTCTTTACTGTAGCTACTTGGATTGCCAAAGGAGGACAGGGCTCCTGTAAGTTTAATACCTGTGCAGCAGAGAGAATTTTGGGACCTGCATCCTTTAGCTGCTGAAATTCCCTCTTCTACTATAGGATTAAATGCAGGGAAACTCCTGTCCTCTTTTGTATCTGGCCACCTTGATAGTATTTGGCAAAGGACAGTTAAAGAGGGAATGAGAGTACCTGTGAGTTGAGTCAGAAAATGTGGCTGGGAAATAGGGCTATGGGGTTGGAAGGGAGGGCTGTGCAACCAATCCTGCCCGGAGCAGCGAAATCTTTTAACTGTGGCTCAAAAGAGAAGCATTTTTAAGGCTGGTTTCTAGCAAAATCTGATTTGCAACAACCAGCAGAAAGCCAGGCCGGTGCGGTGGTTGGGCTGCTGGACTGGGGGGATTGGGAGATGCAGGTTCAGATCCTGACAAAACTTTGAGAGGTCCCAGTGTGATCCTGAGACAGTTGCGCTCGCTCTCTCTCTCTCTCTCTCTCTCTCTCTCTCTATCTATCTATCTATCTATCTATCTCCCACCCATCTGGCAACCCAGGCCACAATACACTGAAACAATACAATATAAAGCAAAACAATACACCAAAATAAACAATAAGACAAAATAACCAATACAGGATACACAAAATGAAAATGATTTCCATAAAAACATTAAAATAAAATAGGGAAAGCATGGTGGAGGGATTAAGGTTAGTAAATAGCACTTTCTCCCTCCCTCTCTCTACCTGACCTACTGGAGAAAGATTTTGTGAAAATAAATGGAAAAATTCAGAGCCATATATGCTGCCTTGACCTCTACAGAGGAAAAGCAGGGTATAAATGTAACCAATAAAACAAAATAGGAAAACTGAGCATCCCGTCTGTATTTTACTAGCATTTCTTGATGGCTTTGACCCAATAAAACATCTCCTGTATTGGCAAAAGTAGGGCTCTGTGCCTTTAAATCACTGAGATTGTCCACAGCTGCTGTTGTGGTTTGAAAGCATATTATCTGAGAGTGGTTTTTTTTCCACCATGTGGAGGACAGACAACTGGTTAGTTATTTCCCTGAGGAGTTCAGAGCCAGCAGAAAGTGTGTTTTTCCCTGTGTTTTGAGTAATACTGGACTCTACTCCTCTACCTCAAGACGACAGTTTAGTTTCAAAAGCAGTTTTTTAAAAAGCACAACTGAAGCTTGCTGGGAAGCCACAAAATTCCAAACCATGCTAGTATTATCATTTATTTATTTATTTCCAAATAAGTTGCAGCTACATGAAGACAGACCAGTTTACAACCTGAATGGTTAAATTTACTACTTTTCCTTGGAGAACTGGAATAAGAGGATTTCCAAAAATCTCCACTCTCAATGCGGGAGCAACTGAAATATTTTGGGAAAATAATGCAGATCAGATGGTGTTTGTTTGAACCATATCTGAAGGGGGCAACTACTTGTTCCAAAACATGTGACCATTTTTCAGATGTTCAGCTGTAATCAGCTGAATATTAAGAAAAACAATCCTACAGAAAAGTTATATAAGTTTCAATGTTGACAATGAAGACATGAACTATTTCAAAGGTTTTCTATAACCTTAACTCAGTCATCGACCCAAATGGAAACTGCAGTCAGTAAAGCAGATGGTTGAAAACAGACATAAAGGAACAAGAAAAGAACCTGAAGTATACATATTTTTATCTCTGGAGACCAAGGTGAAGACCATCCATATTATAGTATTCTAATTATTATCTGAAATAGGGTAAGGAAAAAGTTGACGGGGGAAATTACCTTACTTGAAATGAGCTGCTAAAGGTGAACTTTATGGATACTATGGATCACCAGAAAGAGAAATCAAGTTACTACTCGTATACTTTGGGCGCATCATGAGAAGACAAAACTCAGTGAAGACAATAATGCTATGAAAAACTGAAATCAGTAGGAAAATAAAAACTTGAAATGGATTGGAAGCCACGGCCATCAGTTTGTAATACCTGAGCACCACAGGTAATGACAGGATTTAAAGGACATTAATTTCTAGGATCACCATATACCGTATGTTGGAAATGATATGACAGCACACCGAATGTTTTTTTGAAGAAGGAGACATCAGGCTTGTTCAATCTACTTAGGACCAGACTCCACTAGTTAAAAGCTAAGTATCAACAGCATATTTAGCATTGAAAAAGTAGTTATTTTAAAATATATTCTGGACAAGGAATTTATTTCCCAAATGGACCTGAAGTCATATGCTTTCATACAGAAATCCATTCCTGCTTATTCCACGGGCTTATAGGTGGCCACATTTTGAAAAGTAATTTTGTTGTTCTTGTCCGGAAACTATTGCGAGTCATAATCTATTCAAAACACCCAGAGATCTGATTGTTGTGGTTTAGTCATGTCCAACTCTTCATCACCCCATGGACCACAGCACGCCAGGCCCTCCTGTCTTCCACTGCCTCCCGGAGTTGGGTCAAATTCATGTTGGTAGCTTTGATGACACTGTCCAACCATCTCATCCTTTGTCGTCCCCTTCTCCTCCTGCCTTCACACTTTCCCAAAATCAAGGTCTTTTCCAGGGAGATTTTTCTTCTCATGAGATGGCCAAAGTATTGGAGCCTCAGCTTCAGGATCTGTCCTTCCAGTGAGCACTCAGGGTTGAGATCTGATAGCAGATTCTAATTTAATTTTTGCGCACCCCCTTCTCTAAGTGTTCCAGTAGTGGCTGGACAAGGCAGAGATCAAAGTGCTTTCAGGAAAGGGTACATACAGGAGACTCGGAAATAAAATGAACATATCACTGTTTGATAAATGAAGATTCAAAAAAAAAAAAAAAAAAAAAGGAAAGTGGATGGAAGTGAAAAATAATTCCAAACGTAATTTTTTCCCCGTTTTTGGGTGGGTAACTGATCCCCCCGGATTTGCAACTGGTTTAGGACTGAGTGATCAAAGTCTCTCTTCAGCCCTGCCTGAAGACCTACCCCAAAGAGTTGGAAGTCGTCTTGAGTGTGCAGGAAGGGGGAGGGAGAACAACCTCAAAGTAAACGGACTTCAAAAAAAGAGTTGATTTTTTTCAAACAACAGCTGTTGGTGGAATCCTCCCAAGTGCGAGGAAATAAATTGCCAACACCCCCTTCCCCCGCTGCCTTTTTGTCAATATCCCGGAGCTGGGGGGCGGCGGCGGCGGGAGGTTGGGTGAGGGAAATCTCCCGCCCAGCCCCTTCGTCCCTAAGCAAGGCAGCGGTGGACCAACCGACATCCATGGCGCTGTGTGTGTGTGTGTGTGGTGAAATCCCATTTCTGTCCAATTCTTTACTGAAAAAAAAAAGACACGAGAGACTGAAGAGGAGGGCTTTGAAAATCTTGTCGCAAGCAATCTGCTCGCAGCGCCTGGCGCTGCGGTAGAAAAAGAGCCAGCCCCCCTCAGCAAGGAGTTGGGGGGAGTGTGTGGGAGAGGGAGGGGAGGAGGGAGGAGGAAACGCGGCGGCAGGGGAAGAAGGCGGCGGCGGCTGCTCGTAGCGGGGCGAGTGGGGGGGCTTGGAGCAGACACTCCAACGTGGATAAGCTTCCAGGCTTGCTTTCTGATACATTCCTGGCCAAGGCGATGCTTTTTTTTTTTTTTGCAAGAGCTGTGCTGACTTGTTGCAAAGGATGTGTCTTTTAGAAAATAGATTGCAATAATCCATCTACAGACGAGGTTTATCCCACCGCCACCCCGTGCTTCCATTCTTTGCTCAAGCGTGGAGTGGATTTATCCGGTTGATTTGACTGCATTCAGAATCCCCCCCCCCCGTTTCTCTCTTTTTAAAAACATTTTTATTGTTCACAGGTTTTGGGGTTTTTTGGGGGTGTGTGCGGCTTTTTTTGTGTGTTTTTTTGAGAAAGGGGCTCGGGCAACTTGATGGGGACTCCAAGCAGCCTGGCGTATGGGGAGCGCCCTCCGAGGGATTTTGGAGGGGATTGAAGAAGGCGGGCGGCTGGGTGGGGGGCTTCGGGGAGGGCTTGTTGCAGTGCGATCATGCAGAGGGCCAGCGTGATGGGGATGCCCACCCCGGAACCCAGCGGGTCTTATTCCCAGCAGTTCAAAGCCATGAGGTTCTCCTATCACATCGAAGGGGGAGCAGCGACTTCACCCCAGATCCGAGCCGGTAAGTGTCAGGGAGTAACAGGGGCGAGGATTGGTGGTGGCCGTTTATCCACATTTTAGAAACAAATGAGAAAGCCTCAAAACGGAGCAGAGATGGGGTGCTGTGCTCGCGGGGGGGGGGGACGAATCCTGGTTTTTACCCGCATCTCTTTAGTTGTTGTGCCTGTCGGTCAAAGTAAGGCGCCCTTCCAGCCGGAGCGCCTGAGTTCAGTCCTTGGCATTTGTGGCAGTGAAGTCCAATAGTTAGAAACAGCTCTGCTTTCTTCGGGGAGAGACATTTCTATTGACTAGTGTGAACTGGGAGACATTTGTGTATAAGCGCAGAGCTTGGGGTGAAGGAGCTCGACCAAATGGGGGCAGCACCAGCCCGGACCCGCCTTAGGTGGCACCCGCTTCGGTTAGGTGTAGTTATGAAAGGGTGGGTAGCTTTTATTTCTTCTGCCCCATCCTATGGAGTGTTGCTTTGAATAGCTTGCTTTGTAGTTTCCCGCCCCGAAGAGCTTACAGTGGTCGGGCTGCCCTCTTTGCTTCCCAACCTTCTGTGCCCTTGTCACAGCTTCCTTTTCCTTCTTTTCTCCCTGACCCCGGTCTAGCAGTTTGTCTTCCTGGAGGGCTCTCTCTAGTTTTCCTCTAGCCCTGCCATTTTGATTCCTTGCATCTTGAATCCTCCAAAGCCAAAAAGACTGAAAAAGAGCTTTGGGAAACAAAGAGATGTGCAGTTAACTTGTGGCGGAGGTTCAAAAAGACAGAAGGATTGTAAGAGCACCAGCTTCTTAACTTGTGCTCCCTCTAATTCCATCTCTGTCTTTTCTCCATCCAGACTTTTGTTGCTATATTTATGTCCATGTTTTCATATTTTTATTTATTGCCTAAAGTGGTTCACCCTGATCCTATGGCTATGCTTGGAGAGAACTTTCCCCATTATGAATCTGTTCGATCTTAGGCATGCCGGTGGAACTCCTTGCCCCTTGGTCACTCAGAAGTGTAAACCAGGGTTAATACAGAAGGGACTGGTCCTACATCTGGGCTACCCTTGTTAAATGAGATGGGATTTTGCAATCTGTCAAGAAGCAAATGTGAAAGGCAGGGTAGATATGTGTATCCCCCTCTCCTACCTCACCCACCACTTGCTGTGAAGCATCTCACATGAGATGCTGACACATCTGAGTCACCCTGACAAGTCTGGTATTCTTAGAAACAATCTGAAGCCTCAGAAGAGAGATGGGAGAGAAGACTGTAAAAAAAAGGGGGGGAGAAAACCCAAACTACAGTGTCTGTAAATAAGACCAAAGAAGACTTTTCTCTCTGCCATCTTTCTCCCCCCCCCTCCATATGTTGGGATGGGCTGAACCTGCCTTAGAGCCTTGAATCTCCAGAAAGTGTCAGTATTGTATCACCTTATCTTCAAAGCTTTAGGCATCAAACTCTAATTAGGGAGTGGTGCTTCCTAGTGGTTAGAAGAGGGTGCTTGGGGGCCTGAATTACCGTCTTCTCTATTTAGTTTGAAGAACAAGAATGGAATAAGGTCTGAAAGTGCCCTGGTTTTGTTCCTGAGATTGGGCAGACCCGTCCCATCTCCGCCCCCTTTCCTTTGTTAATTCAGACTAGGGTGAGTTTTCTGTCTTCCTTCCCTTTTTCTTTTTCGCTTTCTGCCTGAGCCAGCTCCTGGTGGGACTGTGAATATGTGGGATGGGCACAGGCACTGTGTAAAGGAAACCACACAAGTCTTTCACCCCCCCCCAAAAAAAATCAGTTTAGTTCATTTAAGCAACACTTTCTTAGTTTTAATCTTTTTTATTCCTTCAAAGCTAATCTAGTGATAGCAATTTACTAGTGTGCATTATTGTCTTCTCCTTTTCCTCTTGTTCTCACCTTCAACATATGATCTACCCACTAGGATAGACTTCCCTGTACTGTGGGGTAGAGAACCCAAGGATCTTACATCCCAGCCTTCCCCTGGTTCATGCCATGGACCCACCCACTTCACTCTTGAGCAAAAAAAGCGGGTTGTCTTGGCTGCTTTAGCAATCCAGGCCAGGATTGTTGGATGGCACAGACATGAGAATTATATACGGGTGTGAATAGTAGATCGGTTACTATTGGGGAGGGGCTGCCTGGTTTTCTCTTTGCTTTTTGTTTTTCCCTTACATCAGACTGTCTAGCAGAGTGTATTTTACAACCCCCCACCAGCTAAAGAAACACTGGTGTCTGAACACTTCCACTGGAAATCATAGGCTCTTTTTAAGGATTGTGTTTATTCATCTCTCTTTCTCTCTCTCTTTGTGCCTGTATATGTGTATGTGTGTACACACACACACACACACAGACGCACGCACGCACGCACACACACACACACACACAGAATTATCCTTCCATCTTGCAATCCAGATTTTCAGGCACAAAGGAAGCCTTGGTTTACTTCCTTCCAATAGGAGTTGGCTTGAGTTTATTGCTACAAAACAAAATGCCCTTCTCAAGAACAAAGTCAGCTGGAAATTCTGGCTGCTTTAGGAGGCAGAATCCTCTAGTGGTCATATTCAATAAAGAGCCAGGCAGGGGTCCTCTGGGTTTCCTCCAGAGTTCTCTAACAATTTTGATAGGTCACAGCGGAAGGACGCAGGAGATGACCACATGGTTCCCATGAAGAGACAGGAATCTTGTGGTTAGAGAAGGAGGTCTTTAGTGACTAAACTCATGGTTCCTCTGCGAAGCCTCAAAATGAAGTGGCAGGATTTAACACCGAAGATTCAGATATATTTGAAACCAATTAAACGAATGTTTAGATGCTGCTGTGGATGCAGGACAAGCGTGAGTTCTGTCAGGCCAGTTGTTGGCCATCTTTGTCCTGTGTTTGTTCCTTCTACAGTATTTGCTGCAATCATTCTGGCTCCGATTCCCTCCCCCATCATCCTTCGCTATGAAGCCTTTAGGGAAACACTGCTGGGTTGACATAAAAGCAAAGCCACATCCTGGCTCCAGAGAAAGCCGCGGAGGGAAATATCTAGGAGCCACAACCTAGGCTCAGGAAGGGTGAGGAAGGCCTGGTCCTTCTGACCCATGCTGTGGAAGAGCCACATGGGCCAAAAAGATTAGGAATTCAGATCTCTTTGGCTCCAGGGCAGGAAACAGAGAGGTTCCAAAGTGAGTTTCCAGGGGGAAACCAGGTGTAGCGAAACTCAGCAGCAGATTTGTAATTTTGTCTTTGAGATAAATATGTGTTATGTGCCACCTGACTAATAGCAACCCTAATACAGTTTTCAAGGTGAGTTCAATATTTAAGGAGTGGTTTTACCAGTTCCACATGCCCAGTGAGCTTCCATGGCTGAGAGGGGGCTTGAAAGCAGGTCTCTTGAATTCTGGTCCATTATTTTATCCACTACAGTCACCACTCTAGGTACCCAGGATAAATAGTGAGATAGGAGGAGAGAAAAATTACTGCAGGGAAAGGGCCTCAGGGATGAAAGCAGAAAGCAAGATACAGGTATAGAACTGTCAGATGTGAAAGAATATTGAGTCTGAGTGTTTAACAAACTGATTTCTTCTTTATAAATGTAAATAAATTTGCACATTACGAGTCTTAAGTGGTTTTTGAGGTACTTGAAGACATGTGAGGACACTTCCTTTAGGCATTTACCTGGGAAAATTCCTGTTGAAGTAAATGGGACTTAATTTTCAGACAGACATGAGTTAAATAGTACTTCATAACCACTGCTAATTGTTGAAATCAGAGGGCATCTTTACCTTTTTCTGCTCCTCAGTTTCTTATTACAGTAATGTATTGGCTCAAAACAGCCAAGTAAAATGAGGCAGCTGGTTTCACAGATTAATAAATGGTCTAGCTGGTCCTAAAAATTTTTCCAGGTAAATCTACTTGATCAACTCTTGCAAGCCTCTTTTTTAAAAGTGCCCAGAAGACTTCACCGCCCTATTCCAGCACTGACAACTCAACCGGAGAGATGTTGTACAGTATTGTAATAATGATGATGGATGATGGGAGCTTGTATTTTGCCTTGTGTTACAGCTGACTTTCAAAATGTGGGGTATCAATACTTCACTTGACAATTGCCTGTTCCTCCTTGCCATGACCAGAATAAAGTTATACATAAGAAGAGGAGATGCCAGATTTGGAACTGGAAACTGGACAAGCTGCGAGAGAGACTAGAGAGAAGTACAAAATCTTTGGCAGTCAGTGGCTGGAGAAATTTTGATTCTTCAGGTGTTCTGGCCTTTAGCTCCCAGCAGCCTCAGATAGGATGGCCAGTGATTGAAGGATTGTGTGAATTGCAGTCAGAGACACCTGGAGGACTATATCTTCCCTCCCTGTTCTGTTTTGAAAGATGCATAAAGCAATAGGTATCTGGTAGCATAAGGATGGCCAAGGTAGACAGAGATGCTCTATGGATTAGCCAGCAAGTACTGTACTCTTGTGCCGATGTCTCAGGTGAATGGGAGGCCTCTCTTTAATTAAGGTTGCGTAGGAGAGCTTTCCATTTGATTGTTCTTCTTGATGCAGTGTGGGGTGTGTATGTGTGTCTCCACCCTTGGACACCAACATTTCTTGAGTGAATTCTGCCTATGTTGGGTTAGCAGCAGGAAACTCAGTCTCTGGTTGGAAATTGGAGTTACCTCTGGGAAATTCCTGCTGCCTTTCCTTGCTTGCAGTGCGATTGGGCCAGCCCCACCATTTTTTCCATCCATCTGGGTGAGAAGAGCTATCTTTAGAAAGGGGCCGGGCTGGGGAGCTCTGGGGCTGTAGTTCACTGTGTCAGCCACAGCTGCCAGACTCAAGAGTGGGGAGGGGAAACCAAGGCCTGTGCCCGGGAAGAACTTGAGGTTGGGAAGTGGGTGGCCGTTGAAGGCTGTATGCCGTTTGCTAAGGACTGGCTCCTAAGGCTTGTGGTGTCAGCAAGTAAAATAGTTTTAGGACGGGGCAGACTAACGGCTGATGCTGCGTCCCTGTAATGTTCCAGTGGCATCCCAGAATTCTAACAGCAACACTAA